AATATTATATTTATCCACTAGGTAATATAGATTTTATATTTAGAAACTCAAAAATGATTTAGATAAATATAAAAATTTTATAATATTAAAAATCTCTTATATTTCCTCTTATTTACCACCCATAACATATTAATAACTTGTAATATGTTAAATGTATTCACATCTATAGATATGTGTGAAATAGGTAGAATCTAGACACAAAGCCCTTAAAAGAAAGAGTTGGCCTAAACCGAAATCGACATGCATTATTTATGATAAAGTTTTTGGTGTTGGATTGGTTCTGTGAATAATTTTCTAAAGAACATTTATTTTTGTAGTACACCTACAAAGGCGATAATACTTTTAGAAAATTATATTGTCTTTTTTCTCTAAAAAATGGAGACTTGTTATGACTCTCTACGATACACATCCCCATTATTTCTTAAGACCTCTCTTCCTCTATAAATACTTGAAGTCCCCAAAATGCTAAGGTCGTGCCATTAGCTTTTGTTTTAAGAGAAACACTTAAAAAGATAATATCTTTTTTACTTCGAAGAATTCTATTCTTCTTCTCCCTCCCAAACAAAACCCTAATTTAGTTTTCTTCACCTAGAAAAACCCCTAAACCAAAGATCGACAATTATATGGCTATCTTCAACACTCATAACACATGGGCCTTCGCCTTCGGCTTGCTCGGTATACATCATCATATTCATAACCTATATCTAGATATTAACATCAAAATCGGTAGATATCTATTGACACTACTTTCATTCTTATCTTATAATTTTCAGGAAACCTCATTTCCTTTGCCGTTTTCCTCTCTCCAGTGTAAGTAGTCTTTACATCACTACGTTCTTGCTCTTCATCAGTCGAAAACACAATCATATATATGAATTTGTCAACATAGTATATGAAACAAACCCATTGAGAAATCAAATCAATAGTTATATATATTCGATATGGATTGCCAGGCCAACGTTCTATAGGATTTGGAAGAAGAAAACTACAGAAGGATTTCAATCTCTTCCCTATGTGGTTGCGCTCTTTAGCGCGATGCTTTGGCTCTACTACGCTACTCAGAAGAAAGATGTCTTCCTTCTCGTCACCATCAACTCCTTTGGTTGCTTCATTGAAACCATTTACATCTCCATCTTCGTTGCCTTCGCCAACAAGAAAGCCCGAGTATGTTCATTACAAACATATATATGATCTTGATAATCTAAATTTTATTTTTTATTGATCTTGTTTTGGTGCAGATGTTCACGGTGAAGCTCTTGTTGCTAATGAACTTTGGAGGATTCTGCTTGATTCTACTCCTCTGCCAATTCTTGGCAAAAGGATCCACACGTGCGAAGATCATAGGAGGAATTTGTGTCGGATTCTCTGTTTGCGTTTTCGCTGCGCCGCTTAGCATTATCGTAAGTAATAATAGTCTAGAGCTACCTAGCTAGTGTTGTTACATAATACTAAATGAACATGTTGTTACAAAATAGTA